TATAATATAAGGAGAACACACACGTAAAGCCAAAGCAGAGGAGCCCTATTGCTAACTTATCTTTCTACACTCTAATCCTACGCAAACTTGGAAGTCCCGACCGATCAAGAGTGAAGTCACCTCTCACCAAGCAGGGCAATTCACGGAGTGATTCATACATTGAAGTTATTACTGAGTTCACTCCAATGTTTGCAAGACGGTCAGCAAGTTTATTCGTTTCCTGAAAACAATGCGTCGCCTCTTTAAAGAGCCTTCTATCTTTTAGCAGCTCCTGTAAATCCCCTCGCAATCTCCATGGACACCGTACTTTCCCTTGAATGATCTGAACCAGAACCAAGGAGTTAGATTCTAAATGCAAATCCGAATACCCATGACCTATAACCAACCTAACACCAAAAATAAGCGCTTTCAATTCAGTCTGCAAACTCGTCATCTCCCCAAAGAAACACGAATACCCCAGAAGAAACCTTCCCTCCAAGCACCGGAGCACCCTCCCACCCCCACTCTTTCCCGGATTACCTCTGGAACAACCATCCAAGTTCAGCTTGACCACATGTTGCACAGGACATCTCTACCGAACCACCAAGGTTTTGTACTCCCTTTTTAGACCAGCCACCATACCAAAAAAACCTGGCCAATCTTGTCCACTGGTAATGTTGCCTTTAAATTTAAGATAAGAAAGGTCCTTAAGGTCACTAAAAATTTTTGCACAAATGTGTACCATAGACAACAGACGACCTTTAAACAAAAATTTGTTCCGCATCTTCCACAAATTCCAACAGATTAAAGATAGCAGGAGTCGATACAGGTACCGAGTAGGCTTCAACCACCAGCTAACCACCTTATGTCTGATTGTAGAGGCAACCCAAAACCCTCCAATTACCCCTTCAAAGTACTCCTAAATTCTCCTTGCCACCTCCCCAGTGCAAAAAATGTGGTCAATAGACTCTTGGCATGGATGCAGACAGCAAAAACAACGAGAAAGGCCTAATATCCCAAGTTTATACAACCTATCCATTACTGACAGACAGGAACCTACCAATCTTAACATGAAGAAAGAGATCTTTATTGGCAAACCGCAAGTCTAAAGCAACGAGTAGATCCAGGAACGGTTTCCATCTTGGCGAACAATCTGATAGGCAGTTGTTAATGCGAAGTCACCTGAATCACTTGGAGTCCAAACCATGGTATCCGCTTGGTCCAGAGAAGGAGGCACCACATCCAAAATCTGCCCCACCCCATCGACTAGGCACTACAGTGCGGGGCTGTTATATATTCCAGCAACCCTGGTCAACAAAATCAGAAACTGCACACTCCTGAAAGGTATCCACTTGAGGACATAGTGGACCTGTCCCCAACCAATTATCATGCCAAAAACTGAAATCCCCTCTAGCCAAAACCCAGCTTACTTTCTGCTTAGCAATCCCCTGAATAGACACCATTCTCTTCCAAGTCCAAGAATCCCCAGGAGAAACATCAGCAAAACAAGGGTGAAGATTGGGACAATATTTGCAGTGCATGAACTCAGCCCACAAAGATTGCTGCAACTAGAAGTGCCACCATAGTAAACTCTTTTGCTGATTTACAAAATCAGAAACTGCACACTCCTGAAAGGTATCCACTTGAGGACATAGTGGACCTGTCCCCAACCAATTATCATGCCAAAAACTGAAATCCCCTCTAGCCAAAACCCAGCTTACTTTCTGCTTAGCAATCCCCTGAATAGACACCATTCTCTTCCAAGTCCAAGAATCCCCAGGAGAAACATCAGCAAAACAAGGGTGAAGATTGGGACAATATTTGCAGTGCATGAACTCAGCCCACAAAGATTGCTGCAACTAGAAGTGCCACCATAGTAAACTCTTTTGCTGATTTACCTTTTGCCCTGACACAGAAACATAATCATCTAGAGCTTTTATAACCAACCATACCGACCGCTTCAACCCACTAAAGAAGATAATAATATCATCTGCATAAACTAAATGAGTGACTGGCAGAAACCCCGTGGAACTCTAAATGGCATAAAGCCCGGATGACTACCCAAAGAGTTGAGGAGGTGAGAGAGAGCTTCAACACTAATCACAAAGAGCGCCGGTGAAATCGGATCTCCTTGTCTCAATCCACGACTAGATTTAAAGAATCCCTGAGGCGCACCATTAATTATCACCGAGAACCACACATTCGAAATAAGCCTCGATATCATATCGATCCACACCTCGCCAAACCCAAACCGTCTTAACACTTGTATCAAAAAAGGCCAAGAGACTCTATCATAAGCTTTGGCCATATCAAGCTTTAACACCGCATTGCCCCCTCTATTCTTTTGACGAATATCAGACACTAACTCCTGGGCCAACAAAAAATTGTCAAAAATTTGCCTACCCTTAACAAAGCCGCTCTGTTGAGGTGATATAATACTCGGCAAAACCATTAACAAACAAGCCGCCAAGTTTTTTGAAAAAAGTTGCAGAGGCTTATGGATCAAAATTGGCTAAAATCATGGGGAGAGTTTACCTTTGGAATCAATGAAGCAACACTTTTTGGCAGTTCCTGACCACAAAAGAAGCTAACCACAACTTCATACAAATCATTGCCCACCACCTCCCAAGCAAAGGTTAAGAACCTACCTGTGAATCCATCAGGGCTCGCCGCACTCTCCCCATCCATGGCAAACACAACCTCTTTTATCCCCTCTATAGATGGGAGGCGCTCCAACTTAGCATTTTGCTCACTTGACATGATCTTGGGGATCACGTCCAAAATGCTCCACAACCCCATGCAAGGTTCGGCTGAGAATAAGGACTTAAAAAACACCACTGCCTCCACTGAGATCTGATCTTCATCTGTCAACCACTCCCCTCTGACACTCCTAATGTATGATTGACTTAAATCTTCTCTCCGCAACTACAGCATGAAAGAACTTTGTATTTTTGTCCCCATCCTGGAGCTATTTGATTCTAGATTTTGCTTCCAATATGCTTCCTCCTTGATCAGTGAGTTTCTCATTACAGCATGGCCTTCCTGCAGGGCCAACCAATGTTGTTGTGATGGGTTAGTATCCAATTCTGTCTCTGCTACCTTTACTGCCTCTTTTGCCTGCTTCACTGTGTCAAAAATATTACCAAAGTGCTCACGCGACAAAAGTTGGATTTCCCGTTTAGTATACCATAATTTGGCTGCCAAACGCTGTAACAGTCTCCCCGGATAGCAGACTACCCAACTTTTCCTTATAACATCCAATAAATCTGCTTTTGACGTCCAGACGTTTAAAAAATGAAAAGGTTTACGCTTATTATCCAGTCTAGTTGAAGCTGATAAAAGGAAAGGGGCATGATCCGATGGCTCTCTTCCTAGATGTTGAACCAAGAAACTCATCCCCAATAAAGCCACAATTGGATTACAAAGCAATTTGTCTAGCCGCTTCCAAATACGAGCATGCCCTCCTCTGTAATTATACCATGTATACCGTGGCCCTGAGAATCCTGCATCACTGACTCCCACCATAGACATAAATGTTCTCAGTTCCCCTCCTTCATCAACCCAAAAAGGCAACCCACCCCTCTTCTCCTCTTCACTAACGATGACGTTAAAATCCCCTGCCAATAACCATGGATCATCCCTCGGATTGTCTTCAAACAAGGCTGACCAGAGTAGAACCTGCTCGAGCTCCGTGCACTTTGCATGGATGAAAGAAAAGTAAACGGGACCCAAGAGCATCTGAGAAGTGATTTTAAGAGTAAGGTGTTGGAGAGATTCCCCAACATGATCACAATGGAAACAATTTTGATAGAACACCCAAATAGATCCCTCTATATTCACCACCCAATCATCCATTTTAAGTCGACCACATATCAATCGGATGTCACATGGCGATAATTGCCACTAGTTGAACCGAAAACTCATCAATGATCCTTTTAAATCTATGAAAGTTTGGAGTATGCAAAATACTCCGAATATTCCAGAATAACAAATTAATCATGAGACAGTGCAGAAAAGGAGTTAGAGCACAATTTCGACTTCGAACGCAAAGAACGATCAGTTAGGGCCCGAGAACAAGTACCCTTATGGCTAGTTTTATTAACCAATTTAATGCCTTCCCCATTGGTAGTCTTTTCCTGAACCTGTTGAATTATTGGGTAAAGATTAAAGATATCAATCACCAAAGAACTATACTCACATTGCCATTCGACTAATTGCCCCTGTAGAGATAAACTGCCAGCACTTTGTTCTGCCCTGGAAACATCCTCCTCCTCAAGCTGCCTCTCTAATACCACCACCTCCTCCCCTGGCTCTACTGCTATCCTCGGTTCGTCTTCAACCAGCAACGGTGCCACAGGGTCTGCACCATTACACCCATCCAACTCAGCATCTCCAATTGTTGGTTGCACCCGCAATTGCTGGAGTGACATCGGACTGTTTGGAGGGCTCTGACCAGACTCCGTATGACCTGCTATAGCCCTCTCCTCCTCCGAGAAGCAAGCCACAACAACCTCCCGCTACTACAATTCTTTCAGAATCGCCTCTGGTGGCAAAGCTGACCCATCCACTGAACCTCCCTGCAATGCTTGCTGACCTGCTGCGTTCGAATCCTTCCTCAAAGGACCGACCAACACATCCTGTTGCTACCGCATGCACATTGCAGAATCGTCTCGAGCATCTGGCCCCACGTGCCCCCCAGAAGACCCACCATTCGTAGACTGCATAAATGGATGAACAGTCTCTTGACCCATCTTAGTGGGCACCAACGGAGCTCTCTCAGCAATCACCGACGGTTTACACGCTTCTAGTGTAGCTTTCTTCTCCACGCTCTCTACCTTCAAAGCTGGATGGAGTACGTTACACTCATCCCTGTCATGCCCCTGTCTGAAACAGTGGCTGCAATACTTAGGCAAACACTTTAGGATAAGCTGCTGCCAAAAGCCTCCATGCTCTCTGCAGAGGCCCCGTCCTGGGCCTAGGCACGTGGCAGCCCAGGAAGGGCAGAGCTAGGCTTGGACCCCATGCCCCCGACAACCACCTTGGGCCATACCGCCACTAGGGCTCAGGAAGGCGCCAGGGAGCAATCCCGCAGAGGGTGGAGAGGATCCCCCTCAGCGCAGGATTGAGGCTATACCGGGCAAGTCCCGAAACATACGGAGGTCGGACTCTCGAGCAAGTATAAAAGGTAACACACACCAACTACACAAGGTACGCTCACTATACACCAACTACTCCCAACTGTTTGGTTTCCCGTGAACTTCACTCACCGGAGAACAATTTGACCGTCGGAGTGCCCTCGGGGACGACCTCGAGGCTCCCCTGTTAGATCATTCTCTTGTTTGTTTTGCAGGCTTGGGACCGGCTCCTCCCATCAGCACGCCGAACTCATCAGTTCATCTCGGTCCGGGAACCACGAGGCCATCGTGATAGACGTGGTAACCAACAACTATAGGGTAAAGAAGGTGTACGTCGACCAAAGAAGTGCGGTTGACATTATGTTTTATCGGGTGTTCAAGGAGTTCGGCCTGGAGGACGGACAGTTGACCCCAGTTCGGACACCCTTGGTGGGATTCACCGGGCCACCCATTAACCTGAAGGGAATGATAACCCTGAGGGTCACGGTAGGGCAGGTCCCCAAATGTTGGACCATCCCCGTCAATTTCATGGTGGTCAAGCAACAATCTCCACACAACGTGTTCCTGGGACGGCCTGCTCTGAACGCCCTCCGAGCTATTCCCTCTACGCTCCACCTCAGCGTCAAATTTCCCACTTCGGGTGGAATAGCCGAGGTACACGGTGACCCAAAGGTGGCCCGAGCTTGCTACCTGGCCATGCTCCGGGGACAGGAGAAGGTGGTCGCCCAGATGACCAGTTTGGAGCCCTACATCCCGGGGAAGGAGGCCCGACAGTTGGGCACCCAGGACGAGATCGAGGAGTTCTCCTGGAGGGAAGACCGTCCCGATCGGGTGCTCCGCATCGGCACGCTGCTACCCTCTGAGGAGAAGGAGGGCTTAAAGGCCCTGTTAAGGGAGTACTCCCAGGTCTTCACGTGGACGGTTGAGGACATGCCCGGAATTCCGACCGACCTGGCCGTCCATCACCTCAACGTGGATCCCCGCTTTAAGCCGGTGAAACAGAAGAAGAGAAGTTTCGCCCCCGAAAGGAACGAAGTGATCAAGAAGGAGGTTGGCAAGCTGTTGGAGTCCCGGATCATCCTCGAGGTATACTACCCGACCTGGCTAGCCAATCCCGTCTTGGTTAAGAAGGAAGACCAGACCTGACGGATGTGCGTGGATTTCACAGATCTCAATAAGGCCTGTCCAAAGGACTGTTTTCCGCTACCAAGGATCGACATGTTAGTGGACTCTACTGTGGGTTTTAACGTTTTGTGTTTCTTGGATGCCTTCAAGGGATACTACCAGATAGAGATGGCCGAGGAGGACCAGGAGAAGACCTCCTTCATTACTGAAGAAGGAACTTACTGCTACCGGACCATGCCGTTCAGGCTGAAAAACGCCGGAGCTACCTACCAGCGCCTGGTCAACAAGTTGTTCCAAAATCAGATCGGCAGGAGCATGGAGGTCTACGTAGACGACATGATCGTCAAAAGCCGAACTGATCAGCAGCTCGTTCCCGACCTCAGGGAGATCTTGGACATCCTATAGGAAAGTCGGATGGACTGAACCCGAAGAAATACACCTTCGGGGTCAGGTCGGGAAGGTTCCTCTGTTTCTTGGTATCCCGAGAGGGGATCCGGACCAACCCGGATAAACTCAAGACTATCATGGACATGGCCCCTCCGAAGAACGTAAAGGAGGTCCAGCGGCTCACAGGGAGGATGGCCGCTCTGAACAGATTCCTCTCGCGCTCCGCGGTGAGAGGGTTACCCTTCTTTCGGACCCTGAAAGCGCCTAAGGACTTCCAATGGACTGAGGAATGTCAGAAAGCCTTCGCCGACCTGAAGGCATATCTGGCCGAGCTGCCTACCTTGACCGCTCCGGAGCAGGGGGAAACCCTGTTCCTATACTTATCTGCTTGCAACGAGGCCGTTAGCGCGGTCTTGGTGCGAGAAGACAGGGGGACTCAGAAGCCGATATACTATGTCAGCCAAATTTTATAGGGGCCGGAGACGCGGTACACACCAGCGGAAAAATTGGTTTTGGCTCTGGTACACGCCACCCGAAAACTCCGACCCTACTTCCAGACCCACAGCATCGTCGTTATGACTGATCAGCCCCTGCGGCAGATACTTACAAAACCCGAAGTCTCGGGCAGGATGACCAAGTGGGCCGTTGAGCTGGCTGAGCACGACATCGGCTATCGGCCTCGCACCGCTATCAAGGCTCGGGCCTTGGCAAACTTCCTTGCTGAGGGGGCTAGCTTGTCCCTGACCAGGCCGAGCTCTCTGCCCGCGGACATACAGTCGGGAAAGCCATGGGTGCTATTCGTAGACGAAGCCTCGAGTAAGGAAGGAAGCGGAGCTGGCCTGCTGCTCACCTCGCCCACCGGGGAAGAGCTGACATACGCGCTCAGATTCGACTTTCCCGCGTCCAACAATGAGGCAGAGTACGAGGCCCTATTGAGAGGATTGCGGATAGCCCACCAGATGGGTATAACCGCGATTAGAGTCCGGAGCGACTCTCAGCTCGTAGTCCACCAAGTTCGCGGGGAGTATGAAACCAAGGAGGATGTCATGAAGAAATACCTGGCCAAGGTGCAAGAGGCAATAGCCCTGTTTGATGCTTTTGAAATCGAGCGGGTGCCGAGATCACAAAACAAGCGTGCAGACGCCCTGTCGAAACTGGCGTCCTCCTCGTTCGCGAACCTGAACAAGGAAGTCTTGGTAGAGTTGGTCAAACAGAAAATCATTGACCAGATCCAGGTCTTGGCTATAGATAGCCCGGCCACCTGGATGACCCCTCTCAATAACTTCCTCAACTCGGGTATCCTCCCCAGGGACGGGACCGAGGCCCGTCGACTCCAGCTCAGAGCTGCTAAGTACGCCTACGCTGAGGGAACCCTCTACAGGAGGTCGTGTCTGTCCCCCTGGCTAAAGTGCGTGACTCTTGAGGAGGGCGACTACGTCCTCCGTGAAGTTCACGAGGACTTATGCGCAACACATGTGGGATCCTGGGTCTTGGCAAAAAAGTGTCTTCTCCTGGGCTACTATTGGCCCTCAGTGTTCCAAGATGCCGCGGCACTAGTTCAGAGATGCCGAGCTTGCCAGGAGCACGCCCCGCTGCGCCACCAACCAGCTCGGAAAATGGTTCCTATTCATAGCCCTTGGCCCTTTGCTCAGTGGGGGGTAGACCTCCTGGGGCCTTTCCCTCGAGCTCCGGAGAGATACGAGCACCTCGTGGTGGCCATCAACTACTTTACAAAGTGGATGGAAGCGGAGCCCCTGGCCACTATCTCTGGAAAGGCAGTTCAGAAATTCTTCTGGAAGAACATAGTCTGCCGCTTCGGGATTCCGCATGTCTTAATATCCGACAATGAGCGCCAGTTCGCCGAGAATCCCTTCAAGAGCTGGTGCGCCGAGCTCGGGATCAACCAACACTTAACATTGGTCGGCCACCCCCAGACCAACGGCCAGGTGGAAAACGCTAACCGAATCATTCTGCAAGGACTAAAAACTAGGTTGGAACTAGCCCAGTCTAACTGGTTAGATGAACTCCCTAGTGTCCTCTGGGCTTACCGCACTACGTCCAGGACGGCCACCCACGAGACCCCGTTCTCCCTGACTTATGGGGTAGAGGCGGTGATACATGCGGAGATCGGTCTCCCCTCGCCTCGGACACAGAACTTCGTTGCGTCATCCAACGAGGAAGAGCTGAGGTGTAGCTTGGATATGCTAGAGGCCAAGAGTGAGGAAGCGGAGATACGGATGGCAAAGTATAAAAGCCAGCTCGCCTGCTATCATAACGCCAAAGTGAGGAACATACAGTACTAGCCTGGGGACCTCGTCTTAAGAAAGAACTCGGTCAGCAGAGCTCATGGCTCCAACAAGCTCGATCCAAATTAGGAGGGGCCCTACAAGGTCGTGGAAGCAAGCCGAGCTGGTTACTGCAAGCTCGCGAAATTGGATGGAGCAGAAGTTCCTCGCACTTGGCACTTCTCGAATCTGCGATTATTCGTAGGGTAGATTAGGCCAGGATGTCTTACTGTCTGTTCTTCAGAATCCACATACAAGTTCATCAATAAATATATGTTCAACTTTCAAGATTTTAAGATCATCGTTATCAATGCCATTTTTAAGCTTAACTCCTACACTAGCACACTCAGACAAGGCTAGGTGTCTTAGTGGGGGGCTGGGGATAAATGATAATGGACGGATGCCTTTAAAGTTGGAGAAGGGATGCTCGACCCCATGAGGTCGGCACGAACAAATGCTCGACCCCAAGAGGTCGGCACGGCTGGATGCCTTTAAAGTTTGAGAAGAGATTCTCGGCCCCAAGAGGTCGGCACGAAGGGACGCTCAGCCCCAAGAGGTCGGCACTGTTTAGGACCTTGAAACCTGAAAGTCCGGTGACGCTTGGCCCAAAGAGGTCGGCACGGAAGTCCGGAAGTGCGGTGCTCGACCCAGGAGGTCGGCGTGGCTGCCCTCAAAGTTGGAGGCTCGACACAGGAGGTCGGCGCAATGGGAAGCAGTTTTATGAAGTTTGTTGATACCCTAGCCTGATGGTCTTTGACAACTTAGTGGTTTGCTTACAAATATAAAAAATGCTCGACCTAAGAGGCCGGCTCGCTGCCTTGGGGGATCTATTTGGTGCTCGACCCGAGAGGTCGGCACAGGGCATTGAGTGCTAGAGTCTGAGACAGGGATGGATTGCAAGATCATTTCCTTCGAGTTTTATATATGCATTCAAAACCTACCTATTACAAAGCTTTCGAGTCGACATAAGGCAATTCCCTTCGAAGTTCTATATATGCATTCAAAGCCTACCGAGCTATAAAAGGAAGAGGAAAGGAGGACCTAGCCGTGTACAGCTCGGTCCCTCTTCTTTTTACTGGTGACCTGCTTGGAGTAGGAGCTGAAGGTACACCTTAAACATGTTGAGAGGCATACGGTAAAGGCTATTCAAGAAGATAGCTGTAGAGGCCCTGAACCCCGGGGCATTGGAGCCTACCTATTTCGAATGGACCTTCAAGAGCATATTCAATTGGAGCATGGTCACATCCTTATAAGAAGATGGAAATGGTTTCTGGAGTGGTCGCTGCCCTAAGCCACCGGCTCCTTTCCGGGGGCCCTGCCGGGAGCCTCTCCCTCCTCTCAAGGAACCTCCGCCAGATCGGCTCCCACATCATTCCTGCCTGCTAGGTCCTTCAGGGCGTGCCCCTTATAGTACCCATCGAAGAGCCAGTCCAGTTTCTCCTCGGCGGCGGGGTTGTACTCCTTGAAATCAGCTAAGTTGAAGCCAGGCAGGTTGAGGCCCTTCACCTGGTCCAGGGCACGCGTGAAGCCGACCTGGTGGATGGGCTGGTTGAGAAGAGCCACGTCCTCGGCAAACTGTTGGGAGGAGATGAACTCCCGAACAGCCTTCTTCCGCTCCCGGCTGACTGTGCCAGAGAGCTCGATGGCGCGGTCCTCCCTCAGCTTCGATATGCCCGCCTTCTCTTGGTCGAGTTCCGACCTGGTAGAGGCGAGCTGGATCTGGGCCGTTCCCAACTCCTTCTCAGCCTTGCCCAACTTGGCCTTGAGGGAGTCCGCCTCTTTAAGGGTCTGGGCAAGCCTCTGCTCTGTCTCCCGATTCTTCTTTCGTAATTTCTCCAAGTAAGGAGACAACTCGGAGAAGCGGGTCACCAGGGCGGCGCCAGAGGGTTTAGCCTAAGGAAAAAGAAAAAAAGGAGTCAGCGCACCATGCGGTTTATCCGAAGGGCGGAGGCGCGACTGGCCCTATAGGGAGGGAGACTTACTTGAGCCTGGGCGGTGTAATACGCGTCCTGGAGCTTGGATGGGCTGGCCAGCTCCATCCACCTCCTGTCGCGCGGGAGGACTGAGCCCACAACCAGCTAGCGAGCCACTTCAGGAAACTGAGCTCGGTCATTGATGGAGAGCCCCCAGGACGGGCAGAAGCGACGGAGGTCGTGCATGGTGGGGGCCTGGCCTGGCTTCAGGGGGGCCACATGGCGGAAATGCCATAAGCCAGAGGGAGCCGACTCCTGTGCGTGCTCCTCCGCGGAGTTGACCCCCAGGTGGACCGGTCCCCTCGATGTCAACAGAAATGGGGTAGGCTGTGCTGGCGCGAGCTTCTTCGCGGGCTGGGAGGGCTCGTCCTCTCGACCCCTCTTCTGCCCGGTCGCCTTCTTCTTGCTGGCGACTTGCTTGGAGGGGGAGGAGTGCAACGCTTCTTTCTGGGGGGCTGAGCCGCCCCCTGCGGCCGGGGACGCCCCAGAGGCTTCCTTAGCAGCCTGTGGTTGAAGGGTGGGGGCAGCCTCCTCCGTAGGTACGCCCAGCAGCTTGGAAAGCCTCCTTACTGCGGCAAACACCGCCAGGTCAGCCAAAACAGGTCAGTAGGAGAAAATATATAATATATGTATATGTGAATGCAACGAGCTACAGGGACAGAGTCGGCGTTACAGGCGTCGAGGTCGGTAGGGGAGGCCACCACCTCTCCAGGGGACCCGGACAACGTCCCCATCAACCCGGCCGCGGAAATTTGCTCGGTAGAGAACTTGGCGGCATGGAGCTTCACCTTGGAGCTCACCAGCTGGCTGAGGGTTTCGAAATCCAACTCCTCCGGGTAGGGGTCGGACTCGACCTCCCCAACCTTCCACACATTGGGGGGAAAATGTGTGGACTTAACAAAAAAGAAGTCCTCCTTTCAATTTTTCACGGAAAAAGGTACCCCGTAGAGCAGATCCTGGGTGTCTTTTCCCCCCCGGACTTGGCTAGCACCTCGGCGGGAGAAGTAGTACCACCCAGGGAGGGAGAGCTTAAGGATGTAAGCAGCCCGGAAGAGAGAAAGGGAGTAGGGGATGGAGCAGATTTGACTGTAGATTAGGAATCCGATGATGATCCTGATCGAGTTGGGATGGACTTGGGTGATTCTGAGCCCCCAATAGCTCAGAATCTCGGCCAGGGCTGAAGGAATGGGGAGTCGGAACCCTGCGATTAACTGCTCCCTATAGATGGTCACGAAACCAAGGGGAGGTCGGCTGGCTCGGTCGTCGGGCCCGGCCGCCCTCGGCTCGAAGGCCGGAAGAATGGAAAAAATCTCGGCCAGCTTGGCCACCGCTCCGGGTGAGAGGGTGGCCTCCTGCTGGTTGGGGTAACCGTAGTTGAATTCAGGATCATCCCCCTGCCCGGAGGTAGGGGTCCTCTTGGAGGAATCCCTATCCTCCCCAGCTCCTCCTTGGGCTCCGCCAGGGGAGTCATGTGGAGACTTGGGGGAAGGGATGGAAGTGGCCTGTCGCTCAATGTAGGCATCGAGCTCAGCCGTCTCCTCTAGGATTCGTGCGGAAGGAGAATGGGCGGAGGGAGAGCTCATTATATCAATGGGTTCGAGCAAGTCAGAAATGGGGAAGTGAGGATTAGAGGCAGAGGAAGAAAAGAGAGGAGGAGGAGAAGATGAGGATGAGGATGAGGAAGAAATGAGGATCCTAGGGGCTCTACGACGGGCCGGAATCTGAGATGCGGTGGAAGTGACGCCGGAGTGATCCGACATAAAAAGTAGAAGGTGGCGAAGGAAAGGAAAATGCGAAAGAAGAAGAGGAAGGACTTACTGGTGAACAGAATGGGAAAAGGTGAGGGAATCGCCGAAATCTGGGCACTGGGAGCCTGGAGTCTTGTTGCCGGAAATTGAAAATGCACGAAGGAAGGAGAAAATGGCAAATAGAGTTGGAAGAAGTCTGGAAGCCCCTATTTATAGGAAAGAAAAAGGGGGGAAACAGTTGCTCGAATTTGAACCGTCCTATATGAACGCATTTAATGGTAGTACGAAAACCGAAGGGACGCGACAATCGAAAGGACGTGGACACAGCTTTTTCAGTAACAGCACTGTGCCAGAGGTGACCCGGGCAGAGTAGTGCGCGGCGCTGGTCTCCCACGTGGCGGAGATATAGATTAAATCTGCCCGGAAGACCTACCTAATCTAGGGGGCTAGTGCAGAGACCCTGTCCTGGGCCTAGGCACGTGGCAGCCCAGGAAGGGCAGAGCTGGGCCTGGACCCCAGGCCCCCGACAACCACCTTTGGGCACACCGCCACTAGGGCTCAGGAAGGCGCCAGGGAGCAATCCCGCAGAGGGCGGGGAGGATCCCCCTCAGCGCGGGATTGAGGCTTTACCGGGCAAGTCCCGAAACGTACGGAGGTCGGACTCTCGAGCAGGTATAAAAGGTAACACACACCAACTACACAAGGTACGCTCACTATACAGCAACTACTCCCGACTGTTTGGTTTCCCGTGAACTTCACTCACCGGAGAACTAATTTGACCGTCGGAGTGCCCTCGGGGACGACCTCGGGGCTCCCCTGTTAGATCATTCTCTTGTTTGTTTTGCAGGCTTGGGATCGACTCCTCCCATCAGCACGCCGAACTCATCAGTTCAGCTCGGTCCGGGGAAGATCAGCGCTTCTTCACTCCTCATTACTAATCCAAATTCTCAACGGGAGAGTTTGGAGCAAGTCTATCTCCACACACACCCTAGCTATGCTAGGGCGAACACCAGAAGCTGTAGCAGAATCCACGAACAGGGGCTTACCCATTGCAACAGTTATACTATATATTGTGATAGGTTTATCTTTAATGCAGACAGAGAAGAACTTTGATAAATGAACTAGTTAACTAGGAGGGCCGGTGGGAACCTGAAAATATTTCCGAGTAGCAAGGTGTTATATAGGCATATTAGCTTAAGTTTAAAAAAAGAGAAATAAATAAATCGAAATCCTGAACCCATAATAGTTACAGCTTTATCTAGTATTTTAGGCACATTATTTTCTTTTTTTAAACTTA